TGTGCCTTTGTGGCTTCCAGTCACCACAACAGGCGGGTGTGGAAGCAGATTCCTGATGACCTACTTTGGAGTATGAATCAACTTGGTTTCACATCTGGCCAGGTGTTATAGTGGTGGTTCTCTGTATTTGGACTCAGTATCTGGCGATGGAGGGCCTCCTACCTTCTCTTCCAAGGTCTAAAGAATAAGTCAAGGAGTAGAACTTCAGCTGAGCGCCATAGATTCTGGAATTTTGCTGCGTGATCTGAAAAAGAAAACCACTAGTATGACGTGTATTTTCAGTGGATCACAGCTCGTAACCCTCACTAGGAGACGCTCAGAAATTGGATCATCGGCAAGCAAAGAGGTATTGTTTCCTTTTCCTTAGGGACTTTCCATCCTTGGGATATTCTGCTGTTAGGGATGTTTTAACAGTTGGTCTACCGTTACTGGTTTATTGTTTGAGGAACCACGTCGGTATTTCTCTTTCGTCTCTCAGGCCCCAATGTGGGCAGTGTTAAAACGTCTCATGTGGGCAGCGTGTAGATCTGCTGTCTCTGAGCTCATCACTCACGGCCCTCCTTTCAACTCATCCACTGTTGCCACTTGGTACTCTGGGAATATTCATGAACGCACAAAATGCAAAGAAGTAGGTTCAGTATCCAATTTCCTAGCCAAAGGTTGTATTGAAACTCAAAGGAAAACAATTAAAAGTGATTCCCCATATTTTGTTTTTAAAAACAAATGCTTTTGGCCCTTGAGCCCATTTTGCCTTCCTTTTCACATCTCCAGTAAATGCCAACCTATCTCCTGTTAAATTAGCAGCAGCCATTTGAAGTCCTTTCAGTGGCATCTGCATAATAATTGCCCAGAGATGCTTTATATCTGGGAAGCCAGCCAAGGAATAAACCTTGAAGCAAAGTGTATTAAATTCGTTATCTAGTTAGAGCTTTTGGAGTGAGTTCCTGACAATGTATCGAGTCTGAAGCTGGAGCAATCGGGGGTCTGTTGCTGCAGGTTCGACTTGAAGGGAGAAAATTAAAAATGGAGGGGGAAAAAAAAAAAGATACCATCTTACAACAAAGCCATCCAACACTTTCAGGCCTCTGGATTTGAAGTTTTTCCAGTTGAAATGTTTTGTTTCTTTCATCCACTCCCATTTGGATATATTGACCCAGTGTTCATCCTTGTTTACTGTGGTCCCTGAACCAGTGGGGCTGAGTTTGACGTCTTCATCCTTGAGCTGAGCTAAACCTGTTTGAAAAGCCGAACTGTATCCTGTTGTGCTTTACTGGATTCCTTGGGCTTTAAGCGGACACCACCTTGGTCTCATGTACATTTAACACACCACTTTCCCTGGATAGGAAGCAAAGGAGGATTTGGCAGCTTTAGGCAGGGATGTCAAACGTGGAATATTCTGAGTAATAAACTTCCGAGAACCCTAAATAGAATTTTACTTCTACAACTTTTGTGGTCCTAGATTGAGAAAAGGAACTAGTTTTGGACTGTAATTAGTCAGTTATTGTTTGCCTCTGAGTCCCGTGGCCATCTCTGGCCCCTTCCCCCCATCGGCCTGGAGAGAGGGTCTTGGTGGGCTCCGCTGGGTGACATCCTGTGGGACTTGCCCACTGGCTTGCCCAGAACTCACTTAACCCATATCCTGCCTACACTCAGCTTTTGTGGTTCTGTTATAAACACCAGTGGGTACAGTAAGTCAGCACTTTTATCCAACTGCGTACCTTTCTTATCTTTTCCAGCTTAATATAGGTTGACTCATGTGAAATTTCCAATATTTGGACCATATTTTACTTACAATAACAGAAAATTCACATGGATCAACCTAACACTTACAGTTTGTTTCTCCTCCCCGATTAGTATGGATCCCAGCGCACCATGTCATTTCTCAAGTGCTAATGAACACGAAAGCATGTACAGCGGGCGGCTTGGTTCTTTTTGTGAACTCATTCCCTTGCTACGGCAACCCTTGCCTCACTTGAGTGGGCCATCTCCTGGGGCTTGGAGTCACTCTTTGCAGAGTGCACTTTGGATTCTCATAGGCAGGGTTGGCCATCAGGCACGTGACTATGGGGTTTTCAGCTGCCATCCTTTCTTGATGTACAGTCTGTATTAGCTGACCTCAGCCCAGTGGTTATGGAACAAAGTATGTGGGCCCGAGGTGTCCAGAGTCACAAAGCAGAATGTGCTTTTGAATCTCTCTTCCCCACTTCCAGCGGTGCGTGGGATGGAGAAAGTGGGTATAGTTATTGATTTTCTTTGGGGGGTAGATCTGTCAGTCGCTTGAGGTCAGGGGGTGGGCAAATGCAGGGACCTTCTAAGATGTGTGCCAGGGAGCTTAGACTCAAGGTTTGGAGATTGAGTCAGAGCCATATTACTGTTAATCTACCCTTCATTCCTCCTTCCTGTTGGGAGTAACTGTCAGGATCCCAGAGTAAGAAGTTTCCAGAAGCACCAAGTAATTAATGTCGGGCTCTTAAGGTGGCTCTTTGTGGGAATGTAGTTTCCTCTTGTTTTACCAAAGATACTTCTGCAACTGTGTTTTATTTTATTGCCTATGGATTTTATCAGACACTCATCATGCTCTTACTTAGTGATTTCTTTTTGTGAGCAAAGTAACAACTCATCTAGCACTGATTCCAAATGGAGAAATTTGGGGTTTTCATGGAGACTGCAAAAATTTTCCATTGGTCTAGAGCTTTACGGGTGACAAATTAGTTGGCCCGATAGGGCTGAAATAATCCTACTTGGCCCTATAGGGTGGAAATCTCTAGGATATTAAATTATGTTTGACACTTCCCGTGAACTCTGAGCAAGCAGGCACAATGGTTCTTGTTTTTGCCTCGGCTTCTAAGACATTTGGGGCAAAAGACCTTACTGATGCATCTATTGAAAGTAACAGCAACATGCCTGGGAGAAATGGCCAGGTATATCCGATCAAATTCTGCCAACTCATATGTGTTGCCCCGAAAATTGCTGTTCTTCATGGGGTCCTGAGGAACTCGATGGCCTACTTGCCTGACACTCAACCTTTATCCTGCCTGCTCTCAGCTTTTGCATTTCTGTTAGAAACTCAGATGCGTGAGTGTTTTTATCCAGCTTACTACCTTACTTATTTTTTTTCCAGCTTAAAATAGCTGTGTCTTCTTCCTCAAGGCCAAACTAAAAGGTTCTCTATTAAAATGTCCATGAGCCTGGCATTGAATATCTGGCATCAATCGATTTCACAGGACTGCATAATTTATTGTTGCTTGGTGCAGTAAAAAGGAGGATGTGCATCAGTTCCTACTGTTTGGAGCTTTGATCAGCCCTCTCATTTTAGAAATAAATTCAAGGAACTTTTCGTTTTAAGACAGGGGGGCAAAAGCTGATGGGCAGCCTGAACATGAGAACGCATCTATCTAGAAAGTCACTGTTCCTTCTGCCATGCTTTGGGCCATCAAGATCATTCTTTCCAAAAAATGCCATAAGCTTGCCCAGACAAGAGCTATAAATGGG